TCTGCTATAAAATAACTTGAGATTTAGAGTTAGCTAGATGGACCGGCTGTGTAGTATTTTAAGTTTTTAGGCATGAGAATGACTTAGGACTTCTTTCGATTAAAGGAATAGAATTACCAAAAGTGGAGAGTGTCCACACTAGCTGGTAAAAACCTGAAAAACATTTGATTCAGGATCTAACATCATTGTTGACCTTAGAAGTTCGATGTATCAGTCACATTGTTACGGTGTAGACAACTAGCCACAAACTGAAGAGGCATATTTTGGTTGTCACCAGCTATTGAGACTGCTGCTGAGGCATATTTTCTATAGTCTTGATTCTTGCTATTAGTGCTATTTATGATATATTTTACCTATCCGATGATGTGTTTCCAAGATCTAATTTCTGGTGAAGTGTTATATTATAGATATGGAATTCATCAGATTCAAGGAGGGAGAGGACGATTGCACTGAAGTTCTGAATCTAGATGATCACTATATTAAAGCATAGTCACACCGAATTACTGCATGAAAAGAACTTGGGAAGGTTAAGGAGGCAATGGATGGTATTACATGCTCTAATCCTTCTGTCTTTGTCTTTTCTATAATCATTTTTTTCACTTTCTGAATATTGACATGTATTGTACACAAATTATGTGTATAGATGCTGAATTTGCCATTAGTCTTGATCCAAATAATCAAGTGCTAAGGAAGCAGCATTCTACCGCCAATGACAAGATCAGATTCATAGTATTCCAGAAGAAAAAGCACATAAGGCTCTTCCCAAACAACCCAAATGATTGCCAATGGACGAACAAGAGTGGAAATATTCTACCGGATTAGGAATGCAGACGTATATGCTGCTGTGTTTTAGTGCGCTTTTTGACAATGATTTTGCTCAAATGTTTCTAGAATTTGTAGGCACTGTAGACTGTAGTTGATAGGAATATCTGCCACACAACAGAATTTGATTTCTTCCTGACATATTTTGTAATTACATCTGAAGACTAGCTGCTTGAAGGGCAGGCCTGGTGCAGTGGTGAGAGTTGTCTCACTGAGTTATTAGGTCATGGGTTCGAATCAGCCTCTCTGTAGATTTTGCGGGCGAAGGCTTGCCTCGGTTTTTCCCTTCCCTAGACCCTACTCATGTGGGAGCCTTCGACATTAGGTCTGCCCCCTTTATCTGAAGACTAGCTGGTTGAGAAATTGCAGGGAACAAGCCGTCCTACACATTATGACGTGTTGCGAGATGACAAGTTCATTGCAGATGCTCTGCAGTCTCTCACATATATCTTATGCTACTTGTAAGCTTGCCCTTTCCTGCCATCTTGTTTTTTGCTCAACTCATGTGTTTGACGGGTCTGTATTTTCTTTTCTTTCAGGTATTCAAGCTGCTCTCGCTGTGTGTCAATCGGTATGTCCTCTTGTGTCGTTGAGAACTTTAGTTATGTATTTTCCAGTACAAAACATTGCTATGGATTTTTTTGTATTTCATAAAACCACAGAGTTCTGTTTAATATCCACAACATACTTACGGATACTAATTCTTAAACTAGAAGAATAGTGAGCAATATCTTCTCAACTACATGGAGCCGAAGATTCCCATTACTTTAAAACTGCTCAGATCAAACTCTAGAGTTGGCTCAATCTACCAATTTAGGTGGCGAGGACAAGAGCTCTCCAAAGGCAAACCTCCAAGGCTCAAGTTATCCCGGTAAGAAGGGCAAAGGGTTGGAAGGGAAGAACATGGTTTAGTAAAATGACATAGCTTAGTTGGAATCGTTATCTATCACAAGTACTGTGAATTCATGTACTTCTTCACGAGGAACCTTGTTGCTTGTTCTTATTATGTAAGAATGGATGACAAGGGTCAATTATATTTTCCTGTCTTAAAAAAATTTGTACCACAAAGATCGTCACGGTCGGCTTCTATGGTCGTACCTAAGGCTGGATAACGAGCTGGCTCGGCTCGGCTCGTTTCGTTCTGGCTCGTTAAGATAACGAGCTAGCTCGGCTCGGCTCGTTATCCTAACAAGCCAGAAAGCCAGCTCGACTCGGCTCGTTAAAAGCTCGAGCTGGCTCGTTAAGCTCGAGAGCCAGGTATAAAAATACATAAAATATAATATTTGTATTTATCTAAACTTTGAGAATAATAATAAAATAAAATAAATGCATCTAGACCAGTTACCAGTTAATTTATAGGGTCTAGACCAGTTACCAGTCAATTGTAAAGTGCAAGACATAAAGTAATACAAAAACTAATATAAGTTTTGATACTTTTTTCCTGGAAGCTTGGCTCGTTTAGCTCGCGAGCGCTTGCGAGCTGGCTCGAGTTAGCTCGTTATAGCTAACGAGTTAAAATCTTGGCTTGGCTCGGCTCGGCTCGTTATTAAAACGAGCCGAGTCGAGCCAGCCACGAACCGAGCGAGCTAACGAGCTTCGAGTTTTTCGTCCAGCCTTAGTTGTACCATCCCTTGCAATAATAATACTTATGATTTAACTATTTCTATATATTGCTGATGGTGAATCTTGCCACAGACACTCAAGTGGATACCTTATTCTACAGTATATATCTGCGTGGAATAATCCTAAAACCACACATATTTTTACGGTGGGTATAACCTACTTTGTTTTAAAGTTTTATGAGTATTCGAACGTGTGTATAGGATGGTACGGAGATGCAGCAGAACTTATTCGTGGATTTAATGGCGCACGAAAGAAATGAATATCGGAGATTTATTCCTGCTAATATAAAACATTATCTTAGCCGTATTACAGAAATGTCTATATAATAGAGTTTGTGAGCCTGCGACGCCATGCTCTCCGTGACTGTGTTAATTTCACAAATTTTGCTCTTTGGATAATATCACTTTAATGTTGGTATTTAATTTTACAGTACTGTTATCTTATCGTGCGATTAATGAAGCTTCGTATTGCTAAAAAAAAGAACCCGAGCCCACCAAATTGATCCAGCGAGCCAATGGTTTGATTTGATCCCACGAAGTTCCCTGTTCACTTGAACTAATTTTCAGCCAACAAACATTATTTTTCTCTCACAATAAATTAGCATAAACCAACAGCATAAGCCAACAGCATGTTCGCTTGGTCGTATTCGGCTTATCAACCAATAAATAGTATTTTTCTCTTATACTAAATCAACCAACAGTACTTTCAATCATGACTTATAAGCCAAACAAATTGGACGCAAATTTCAGCTTAAACGAACGGAGTAATTATTTCCGGGCGGGTTTCGTACGCGAGCTGCACGGCAATCTTGCCGTCTTGCCGAGACGGGCCGGCGCGGAGGGAGAATAGGGGAGATAGCGTAGGAACGGAACCTACCTCGCGTGGTCCATGCACATCTACAACCGGACAGCAAAGTTAAGCCTGGGGATGAGAGCACCTTTTGCGTTGGTTGTGGCGGCCAAATCCAAACCCTACGCTACCAAATTAGTATGAAAAAAACATCCAAAATACTACCAGTAGTAAGGGCGCGTTTAGTTCGTGAATTTTTTTTTTCTTTGGCTAGTGTAGCATTTTTGTTTATATTTGGCAATTAATATCTAATTATAGACTAATTAGGTTCGAAAGTTTCGTCTCGCGATTTCTCACCCAACTGTGCGATTAGTTTTTTTTCGTCTACATTTAGTACTCCATACATATGCCGCAAAATCGATGTGACACTTTAGAGTGAAAATTTTTGGAAACTAAGCAGGGCCTAAGCAGTGTGGCCATACTGCTGCTGCTGCTGCTCAAAAAACAGCTGGATATGTTCATGCTGAAAAACACTTTTCAGCTGAACCTGAAGACGGGGGCTGCCGAGCTTAATGGACCGAACGATCTGTTGCACTGCATCAAATAAAGTGGCAGCGGGTACACGACATTGGGACGTTGGTTGTGCGTAAGCCTAACGAGATGGATGGATGCAAGTATCCAGCAGTCAACAGTTTTGTCATGCACATTAGCCCGTCAAAATTATGGCCTGCATGTCGTACTGTTTGTCGGCTAGACTAGATGGGATGAAATTATTGAGCGTAGGACAAAAGGCCGATCGACTGTGTGAAAATGTCAACTGTAGCGATTTAAACCTTCGAGCTATATTACTACTCCCCCCTCCCTCTCTCTCTCTCTCTCTCTCTCTATATATATATATATATATATATATATATATATATATATATATATATATATATATATATATATATATATATATTCTTCTTCTATTCCAAATTATAAATTACTTTAATTTTTTTAGTTCATCCATAAATCTAAACATTTAAAATGACTTATAATTTAGAACAGAGAGAGTAGAAATGAAATTAAACGAAGCAATTTAAAGTGCTCAGGTGTTCGTGCAAAGTAATGGGATTGGTATCAATCATGCCCTTCAATTCGAGGACAAAAGGCTTGATATCATTTTTTCCTTTTTGCTGGGGACGAAATGTTGCCTTCGACTGAGGACGAAAGTTGGTGCATGATGGATCCAAGTGTCCAGCCGGGCAGCCTGCAGCCGGCAGCAGTCCACAGTTTTGTCGTGCATGCACACAGGAACGTCGGAATTGTGGCCTACTACAACATGTTGTCCGTCCCATTGTCTGCTGATGAAATTATTGCGATCTACGGGGGGTACGGATCAACGTGAAAAATAAACAAAAATCACCCTGCGTAGTAAGTTCGTACAGTTTTTAGCCCACTGATCATTGATCATTGCAGCCACACAAATTGGATCAGTGTGCATCGACAGATGAACAGTAAGGTGGAAAGCATTTTGATCTGCAATACACCAGTTCCATTCCATTGTACGTACACACACTTCTTCATTCATTGGTTGCGTCACCATTAGTGCACGTAGGCGTGCACAGAAGCAAGCAGCTGGTTCTACCCACAAAGTACTCGATTGCAGCAAACGAGGAGCGGTTTACTAGTTAGCTCCCCCATCCTATGGAGCACACGATGCGATCATCATCACTAGTAGTAGTAGCAACACACGACGGAGTACTGACACATGACACGATGCAAACTCATGGAATGTATAATCCGTTCTGGCCTGCTTCCTCCTGGAAGCCGTTGGTGTTCTGATCCATGGCTCCATTCGCGAACTCCTCGTCGGTGCCGTACTGCTGCTGCTGCTGGTAGCTACTGTCGCGCCTGCCGCCGGCGCCGCGGTGTCGGCCGTACCCGGAGCCGGAGCCGAACTCCTCCTCGGCGGGGCGCGTCCGCATGGGGTTCGACTCGCGGCCGTAGCCGTACCTGCCGGCGTCCACGTCGTAGTAGTAGCGGCCGTTCTGGTACAGCCTCGTGTCACTCATCCCGTAGTCCCGCTGCTCCTGCTGCCTGTGGAAGCCCGTGTAGTACCACGGCGGCCGGCCCCTGCCGCTGCCGTTTTCCGGGTACGGCTGGACGCCGTCGAGGTCTCCTCCGGCGCCTCCCTCCTCCTCGGTGCCGGTGGTGGTGGCCGGCACGTCGGTCGGCGGCCGACCCCTGCCGCTGCCGTTTTCGGGGAACGTCGTCCAGACGCGCTCGCCGCCGGCACCGCGGGCTCTTACAGGGGCCGCCGCCGCCGCCTCCACGGTACCTGCTGTGGCTGGCGCCACGTCGGTCGTCGTCGTCGTCGTCAGCTTCTCGGCGTTGCGGTGCACGCCACGGCGGAAGTAGTCCGGCGGGTAGTTCTCCTCGGGGCGGCCGTAGAGCCCGTACCCGCGGCCGCTGCCGGCGGTCGAGGGGCGCGAGAACACCGGCGCGGCATCGGTGTCCGCGGTCGCGGCGTTGATGGGCACGGCAGCCTTCTCGGGCTCAACGACGGTGGCTTCGGGACGCGTGGTCTTGCTGAAGAAGAAGCGGTCACCGCCCCACGCGTCCGCCGAGCGAGGCGCCGCGACGGCGAGCACGGCCACTAATAAGGCAGCGAGGAAGAGGTGGCGAGCAACAGAGGCAGCCATCGGGTCGGAAACCGTCGGTGGGCACTGTGTGTGTTTCCGTGCGCGACCACTTATTTATAGGCGGTCCGGGTCCGGGTCCAGCGACCACCGGCGGTGCGGGACGGTACAATCAGGTCTCGCAGCTAACAGCGGTAGAAAGCTGATGGGAACAGAAAGGCATCCTAGACAATGTGGGTGGTCACTGATCAGGTCGGGGCGCGCCGATGATGGCGGGGGACTGGATTGAGTGGGGGGAGACGGAGACGGGCCGGGAGAGCGTGCGCGGCGCGGTGTGCATGATGGAATTTGGTGCACGCTGGCTACCTGAGAGAGCCTGTCTGAGAGCATGTGAGATCTAGGAGACACGCAGAGGGCCTCGCATTGATGGAAGTCATGGCTCGTGAGGTATGAACAGGGAGCAGGCAGGCTGGATTCCGGCCGTGGGCACTGGGTGGGCATCATCTTGGCAGCGTGAGATTTGAAATGCCTACTGCTCGCTCCACATGATCCATTTATCACTAGTTCGAGTTACTGTCATGCTTTGGTTCTAACCGAGGATCAATCTTTTATTGCCGGGTCTTGTGATCAACCCCAAAAGACCGAGCCCCAGCACTACAGTCTGTTTGGATCCGTGTTACTGCCTTACTGGTACTGACTAGCATGCTAAAACTAACAAGCATGGTTCTAAACAAGATGTGCTAATACACCACTTGAGAAATGTCGCTGCTAATAGTTACTGTTACTCTTCAGAAGACCTATATACGCCATAATCAGAAGAGGAGGCACAGATTGTCAAGCAGTGAAAGGGCGTGTTTGGCTTAGCTCCCGGCGGCTCCGGCCCCTTCCCTGTAGATGCACTGTGACGGAGACGGTCGGAGCACCGAATGCCCAGCTCTTGGGCTCCTCTCTGGTGGCGGGCGGAGCCGGAGCCTGTTTCACGCAGCGCGAAGCACATGGATGATGGATGCACAGTCCGAGCGCATGCAGAGCCGGAGCCGGAGAGAGCTGCGCCAAACGCACCCAAAGTCGTTACAGGACTCCAGTAGGACTGTGTCAAGCGGCCTGGTCGCTGGTTGATTTCTGGACTGATAAATCCGGTTAGTGCGGGTATGTTGTGAGAGGAAAATATTGTTGGCTAGCTGATAAGCCTCTGCCGAAACCAACCAGCGAAAAGGCTGAAGACGTCAAGTCATGCCAGCACAGATCTCGGAGCGAAAGTTGCCTTTCGAGAAAGAGATTGCCGCTTTTAGATTGATGCACATGAAATCATTGGGAGCTTAAAGCGGCGGCAGCCGGGAGCTGGATTTTTCTCTCTATTTTCTTAACCCTTTCTCTTGCTGGATCACCTCTTCACTTCATGCGATGCGACAGGTCAAGGTGATTGGTGAGTAAAGCGACGCACCATGTCGTCAAAAAAAAAAAAAAAAACGACGCACCATCTCAGCTGAACTGGATTGGGTATTCGGGTTGTTCCGCCATTCTCGCCGCTCGCGCTCGCTCTGCCGCTGCAGCATGATCCAACACGAGAACAGATCAAACACCAGCGCGCATGGATCCGGGAACTGAAACAAGCCAGACAATTGTACAATTCGGCCCACGGTCACGCAGAGAGAAGGGATTCGGCCCTGAAGAAGTCCTTTTACAGCCCGAAGTTTTGTAGTCCGTGTACTGCTCGGTCCAAGATATAAAGACAGGGATTCGGCCTACTGGAGCCTTATTCTATTGGGCCTTCGATATGGGCCATTAGGCCGACCATGCTACTACAGGTTAACGCACATAGGTTTCCAAAAGGGTCAATGGTGACCCAAGTTCCATATCTAATATACGCTGTTTCTTCTAAAAAAACATCTATATACGCTGTTTGATAGCTAGCAGGTCCTACTCGAAACCTAAGCCGTAGTTCCTTGGATATGTCAGATCGAGTCAAAATAAAATATTGAATAAGCTTATCATGAAACATATTTCTTTATAGCATACTTACTTGGTATCATAAAGAGTGATCATTTCTTTCTATAACCTTGGTCAAATATTAAATAGTTTAACTAAAAAAACTAGAATTATGTCTTTTTAGACAGAGATAGCATCAAATTGTAGTAACTGGAGTGTTCTCGTGTGGTTGATATGTACGTCCATGCGGGAGTTCTAGCTCTATAAAACCTAAAATAGCGCAAATGGCTCGAGTTAGATGTTGTAATCTATTTTCTTACCACAATAGTGTTAAAAGGAGCGGCTATAGCCGCCTAGAGAACACATAAAGTACGAAATTAATCGAAAATAAAAGAATATAGACAGTTGGTTTTAGTGGTTATCTAGCAATTTAGATTTAGCTAAGCAGCCTATATCAAATAGGATAAATATATAGAGCTAAATTTATGTACTATCTAAAGAAAGAATGAACATTAAATAGAATTAGCCGGGATGGAACGACAGATACGGATTGATCATAGTGAATCCAGATAGCAATTTTCAAATATAATTGCTAGAGTCCAATGCATGGAAAAGAGACACAGAGTATTTGGAGAGGAACATCTGTGTGGTGTCTGTATATTGTCGGTAAATTTTGTGTCTAACTAGTGATTAGTGTATTATGCACTTCGAATGAGAGGTAGCACGTAGGACATGGACTTATATTGGTTTTGGTACGAGTACGAGTACATATAATATCTCTCTATCACTGTATTATGCACTTAGTTGTGAGTATATATAGGACGCTATCTTTTTTACCAACATTTTGTAATATTTTATTGAATATTTAATTTATACTGCTAAACAAACTCAAATGAAAAAAGTTTCAGTACTAACATGAGATGAGAGCAAGCAGCGAGACGGATCCAAAGTCTTAACTCAAATGGCATAATATATCTATCACTCTTCTTTGGATCTTGTCAAACACTATGGCTTTGGTATAGAACGTGTCTCCATACAATATTGTTTAAAAATCTTAAAAGATTGAATCTTAAAGTACGTGAATTTAAAATAATAAATAAAAAAGTTATCAATAACAAACTAAAGATTGGGTTGGCAATGAAGCTATGCTATTAACTATGTGAACATTTCATAATATTGTTCCTAATAACTGTCATGTCAAAATTGCATTGGTACCTGTGACAACGAGTTTTATTAAGATGAAACTTTATGAGACTCTCTCTATCTCTCTCTTTGTAATTAATCTGACAAGTCATAAAATCTGCTAATAGTATGTCATAATATCAAATGTAAATGAAACACAAATAAAACATTCATTGAGACTAGCTTTAGACCTGGCCTGGCCAGGTGTTCAACTTTTGACCCAAAACGACTGTCGATTGTCAACGCTATCTTTATTAGACCATAAAACATTTTTTTCGAACTAGTGATATCCCCATTTCCATAGCATCACCACGGAAATACAGCAGCATTTAACAGACAGTTCAGAAAAGCAAAAGAAGTGCAGGGAAATGTAACAGAGTACGACAGGGGGATCGATGCCCCAACGACAGAAAACATCCCGGTAGATGAAACTACTGCTAACAAAATGTCCAACCCAACAGAGTTGGGGGAGAGCAGCGCCCCAAGCCTCAGCTTTTTCACTCCCGGTCCTGCTGAGCTTCATCATCATCGTTGGTGACGTCTTGCAGTCTCCTGGTGTCTTGACGCTCTGACAGTAACTTCACCGCAATCTTGAACATGGTCTCCACGCCCTTGACCAAAGTTTCCTTGTCCACTTCCTTCCGGAGACCTGCTCAGAACTTCATTAGAGCGCACGCATGACAGACGATCTCAATGGGGTTTCTGAACTTCTTCCCCTCGAAACAGATTTTGTTTCTTGTTTCCCAGATCGACCAACATACATCTGCAATACCAACAGCAAAGAATTGCTTCCCATTGAGAATCCATTTCTCGCACCACTTCTAGCTTTGTTGATAGGAAGATGGGATATCATTGGCACCCAAGCAGGTGGCAATTGTAGCCCATACCACCTTGCCAATCGAACATGTAAACAGGAGATGATTTATAGTTTCAGGGTGTCGACAGAAATAACAAGAAGGATCACCATTCCAATTTCGTTTGATCATGTTGTCCTTAGTTAAGATAGCATCATTTGCTACTAACCACAGAAAGATCTTGATCTTGGGTGGAATTTTTGCTTTCCAAATATATTTGAAATGTGGTCCCCCATCTGAACTTGTCAGAGCATTATATGTTGATTTCACAGAAAATTTACCTCTATTTTCTAATTTCCAGGAAGCCATATCAGGTACATCCTCTAGTTGGAAAACAGAATTATCATTGAGAATTTTACCCCATTCCTGATTAAGCTCTGGAGCCAACCATCTTGTAAAAGAAATAGAGCGTGTTCCACTGATCATTTGATGTATAGAAATGTTCTGTTGCTCACATATCTTAAACAGATTAGGGAACAGATTACACAAAGGATCATCATATAGCCATGCATCACTCCAGAAAGATGTTGCCTTACCATTTTTAACCATCATTTTCCTACCTCGAAGATAGATATGTTTGACTTCGAGGAGGTCTGACCAAACAGGAGAAGCAGTTTGTCTGTGTTTCACAGACCCAACTGAATTCTTCCTCAAGCACTTAGGTGGTGTTTGGATCCGGTTACTAAAATTTAGAAGGTGTGTCGGGAGGATGTTGCATGGGATGTTCGATACTAATAAAAAAACAAATTACATAATCCGTCAGTATTCTACGAGACGAATTTTTAAGCCTATTTATCCGTCATTAGTATATGTTTACCGTAGCACCATATTGTCAAATCATGGACTAATTAGGCTTAAAAGATTCGCCTCGCAAATTAGTCGTAAACTATGTAATTAGTTTCATAATTAATCTATATTTAATACTCCATGCATGTGTCAAACATTCGATGGGACAGCGACTAAAATTTAGAAGGGGCAACCAAACACCACCTTATATGAAACCAGATCCTGCCACAGACCAGATTCACGTTCTAGTTTCCGCCACCACTTATAAAGTAGACTTAGGTTCATTTTCCTGATATCTTTTATCCCCCGCCC